CAGCACTACCCACGATAATGTTATTCATGCTCAGAAAAATTGATCCCAGGTTATTTAGTGTTTCCAGCACTTCCCTTCTCCCCGAACCTCACCATAGGCCCATCTCAGAGTTCGGGGCTCCTAGGCCTCTCTCAGACAGAAGGTCTGGAAGGTATCCCTGGCCCAGAACCCAAACTGGCCCTGCAGAGACAGGGTGCAGATCTCAGAGCCCTGGTGTGCAGGGGCCTCAGGAAACAGCCTGGACTTTCTCCTGTGCTGCACAAATAGGCCTGGCCCACCACCGGTCCTCCCTGGAGCCCAGGCCCAACTTCTCCAAGACGAAGCACACACAGGAACAAATGCCCTCGGCTGCTTGGGCAGCTCGCGGACTGTGGTGCACTCAGATGCCTTAGGCTGCTCAGGAAGACACAGCAGGTTTGGTGAACTCRCTTGGGGCCACTGCGTATCTTCCCCAGCTGTACACCTGGATGTGGTCAACTCCCCAGAGCTGAGAAGCTGAAAAGCAGGAGTTAAAACCTGAATTCAGAAGCCAGATACCCTGAGTTGGAATCCTGGTGCTGCCATTGACATAGCTGTGTGACTTTGGGCTGGTTGTTTYACCTCAGCTTTCCCATGTGTGAAATGGGACGATAACCATACTGACCTCTTGTGAGATTTTAAAAAGCTGACTAATGTCTGGCTGTTGTTTATTATATACTCCAGTTGCTGTTGAGGTCAGGAACCAGCAATGTTTTCTATAAATATCCAGAGACTAAATATTTTTGGCCTTGTGGGCCATGAGGTCTCTGTCATGTGACCCAACTCTGAYGTTGTGGTCCTATAGATAATGCATCACTGAACACGAGAGTGGGTGTGCCCCATGAAAACTACTCACAAACTTGAAAATTAAATTCAATGTGTCTTAATATTATTTGGATTTTTTAATTATTAAAAAGTGTAGGGCTGGGGTTGTAGCTCAGTGGTAGAGCATTCGCCTCGMATGTGTGAGGCCCTGGGTTCGATCCTCAGCACCACATAAAAATAAATAAAATAAAGGTATGGCGTTCAACTACAACTAAAAAATAAATTTTAAAAAAAAGTGTAAAAAATTATTGCTAGCTCACAGGCTGGTGTAAAAAAGGTGGCAGCTCTGGTCTAGGTGTGAGAGACGCAGGTGTTATTGCGCCTCACCCTAACAACCCACAGTATCTGTGGAGCCCCCCACCTCCCCAGCCCATGACAGTGACCTCATCTTAAAAGCCCTTCTTGAAACTGGGGCAGTGAGACCCCCATCAGGCAGATTAAGGGGCTCAGCTCTACCGGAGCATTCAGAGTTCTAATTCCTCAAGATAAATCCCAGAGATTCCAGAGATTTCCTTGCACATCCGCCCACTCTGCCAGCCCAGCGTGCTGGAGGAGGTCTGACTGGGGATGCAGAGTAGATGGCCRCGCACAGAGACCCTGCTGGCAGGAAGCAAGCCGCAAGCCTCCGCCATCTGTTTCCATTAAGCTTCGCTGAGTGGGGAATTTAGAGGTTATCTGTGTTGGGTTTGAAGCGCTGTGAACATTTGTTTCTTTCTGAAGGGAAAAGCCAGAGGACTGAGAGGGCAGAAGTTCTTGGGCATGAAGTGAGCCCCATCTGGAGGTTTGAGGCAGCCCCTCGGGAGCTGCTAATGGTCAGCATGGTGGCCCTGGGGAAGTGGCCACAGCCCACCGGAGCCTCGGGATTCTACACCCAGACTGTTCCCCACCTCGGCCTTTCCCAGCTCCAAAGCCTTCACCCATCTCCAGTGGCCTCCAGCATGACGCTTTCACTACAGACGCTTCAAGACACCCTAAGGACCCAGTATCCCTCCATCAAATCCTTCTGCTTGGTTCCTGAGGATCCCACCCGTGGGCCTGGCCGAGGATTCCCAGCCCACACAGGGGACCTCCTGTGCAGCTCCCACCCTCTGTGAGATCCTCCCACCTGTGCATGCCCTGCATCCCCCACCCCACCCTGTGCCACACCTGGCCACACCCAGCCTTGACCCGTATATGAAGTGACTTTGCAGCGGGGTCACAGAGGGGCTATTTCACTGTGCCTCGGTTTCCTTATCTGTGAAACACAACCTCATGGGGTTGCTGATTTTAATTAGAACATGTCTGTCAAGCACTCCCTGAATAATATCTTGTTCTGGGAATGACACTGGCCGGCAGCAGCAGCAAGTGGGGTCCCCTGGGTCACAGTCACCCCTTCCCTCTTCGAATCTCTACCCTTACTGTGTGAACTACACAATGACCACAAGATGTTTCTTGCCTGGGTGTCGGGCCTCCCCAGTGCTGCAAACATCCAGAGCCTCTGTGCCCCCACCCTCTATGTCACCTTTGCTCCCTGGTGGAGTCTGGCCCTGCACAGGCCTGGGTCTGGACTCAGTCATCTTCATTAATTGATTGAAACACCCCCTCCCCCGACACACACACACACACACACACACACCTGTCTTTCATGAGGGGATTGAGGAGGAAGACCCAAAAGAAGTTCTTTCTGATGCATCGCTCTGACAAGCTGACAGAGAATCTCATCAGTGAAGAGCTGGCCTGGGGATGCTCAAAACACCACATATTTAAGGGGGGAAAAAAGACTTTTGATAAAATGACCCTCTGAGTGGCACTGAGTTTTAAGTGGACCCACGAGTGCCACCTGGACGTGGCTGGCTTMCACAGAACCCTGGCTGACCAAAGAGGCCTTCCAGGAAACCCCCAGAAGCCCAGGGCATGGCGGGCCCTGCCCACGGTTTCCATGAGCCTCAAGAATCCAGCTCCCCACCCAGAGCCCCCAACGGTGTGGGCAAAGGTTAATGGGCCCCAAGGGGAAGAAGGGAGGTATATAAGGGCCCGTCAGACTAGTGGGACACCAGAGGACAAGCCAAGACCCCTCCAGCCTCCATCAGAACTCGCTGGTGAGTAACCACAAGAGGAAGAGGGCGGGACTTGCCAACACAGAGGTTCCAGCCAGAGCCAGCTCCATGCAGGGCTGTGGGGGAGCTGACCCCGCCCTGGGTCCCTCTGCCACCTTCAGAGGCCTAGCTGGGTTCAGAGGGAAAGCCCTGCGCTGACTCCCAAGGGAATGTGTTAAAGTCCCCCACGGGGGTGGGGCAGCCGCAGGGCTGAGGCTGGGGGCTGGAGAGAGGCAGCCGGGGGCAGCTCCAAGCAGATCCACAGCAGCCCAGAAACCCAAGTCCAAGCTCGGCAGGACCCAGGCTCCTCTTGGTGTGGCAGCTTAGCTCTGGAAAGTTAAGAACAATCTAGTCCCAAGGCAGACCCTACAGCTAAGCAAGACAGGCTTGGCTGGGGACAGCAGCTGTCCAGGGAGGGGGACGGTCCCCTGGTCCCCTTCATCCAGCGCAGAGCCTTGAAAGCCGAAGCCCATCCTGGCGGTGGGGGAGGGGATTCCGCTCTGCCCAGCTCCCCCTCCCAGCGGCCAGCGCAAGTGAACGCAGCTGACGTGCCGCTGCCAGTGGCTCAAGAAAATGAGCTGCAATTGGATTTTGCCTTTTTTTATTTAAAGTTTTTATTGATTCTTATGGAGTGAATTAAATGTGAACAGCAGAATGGAAAGGGATCTAAGCACCTCTGTGAAGGAAATGGGACCCACAAATGTGACACATCCGTCTCTGCTGGGAGGGAAAACAGGGCCCTGGGGACTCCACAGGGAAAAGACAGGACGGAGGGGCTGGCGGTGGGGGCTCCGCCACTTCCAGCATCCTCAGAGCAGCTCTTGTCCCTGGGCCCCTGACCAGCCTGGGCTTTCCCAGAGGTGACCTTCCATGGGCCACTGTCCTCCCCAACCTATTGGGAATTCGTAGGCACTTAGGATGGAGGCTCAGGTGTTTGAGTGCTTGCGTTCCTGCTCGTGGTATTAAAATGGAAAGGAGGAAGAAAGCAGGGCTGGGTGTGGTGGCGCAGGCCTGTAATCCCAGCAGCCCTGGAGGCCCAGGCAGAAGGGTCACAAGTTCAAAGCCAGCCTCAGAGACTTAGCAAGGCCCTAAGCAACTCAGTGAGACCCTGTCTCTAAATACAAATATAAAGGGCTGGGGATGTGGCCCCGTGGTTAAGCACCTCTGGGTTCAATCCCTGGTACCAAAAGAAGAGAAAGGAAAGTAGGGAGGAAGAGGCTGAGGGTGGGCGAGGAAGGCAGCAGGGATGGCAAGAAGGCAGGGGGGTGCTGCTGGGTGGAAGCTGGAATGTGCCCGGCTGTGCCACCCAGGACCATTCTCACCCCTTTCGAAGTCTCAGCACCTGCAGTCCCATACCCACCTGCTCCCTGGCAGCACCGGGGTCCCCTGCAGCCTGCCTTCCTGCCAGCCACTCCAGGCACACCCACTTCCAGGACGCCCCACCACCCTCTCAGCATCCTGGGGTGTTCGCAGCTTGCAAGGAGGAGGCCCTCACACTGTTGCTTCTGGATGGTGGCCACCAGGCAGCCAGATGCCCTGGAGCTGGGGAGGGACGTGTTCCAGTGCCAATGCTCACCCCACTGAACTCTTTTTTTTCCACCTGGCTCTTACTCTGCCTGGGTGAAGGTCTCGGCCTTTTCTCCTGTGCACCTGGGGTCTTGGTCAGAGGCTTCTAGGTAGAGCTGCAGTTGATGAGCCTGGATCGTCTCTAAGCGTCCCAAGCAGTGCATGGAACAGGGGTGCCGCCTGGGTTCTGTTGATAATCTAGGAGTTCTTTTTTTGTGCAATGAGGTCCCTCCTGCCTCACAAGGAGACCAGCTGACCCCAGGAGACCTCACCTATCCAAGGGAAGGGCTGCATAGTGTATGGCACAGGCTGGGTGGTCTTTCCCAAGAGCTTGGTCAGCGGCCACCACTCTGGGGCAGGGAGGGTACCCTGAGTTCATCAGGGAAAGCTTGGGTTCAGAGAGGCCAACCACTTGCTCAGGGTCACACAGCTGGAGTGTGGACCAAAACAGATTAGCAGTCTACCACCATGCCCTAAATCTAGTGACAGGAGCCCCTTGTCCCTGGCCAGCTCCAGGATGGTGTCCTACAAGGCCATGGCTGCCCTGCTGGTGGTACACGCAGCCACCATGCTGGCCTCCCAGACAGAAGCCTTTATGCCCATCTTCACCTACAGTGACCTCCAGAGGATGCAGGTAAGGAGCCCTGGGGGCGGGTTACATGGCTGTGCCAGTCCCTGAGCGGCCCAGGCTGAGTCAGGGCTGGCATCTCTGAAGCAAGCTCTCCACCTTCAATGACCTATGCCAGGGCCACCAAGGAGTGTCAGGACCAGAGAACCTGAAGGCCAGTGGTCCCTCCATGTCAGTGGCTCCCATCCCTGCCTGTCGTTCAGACCGACAATTAACAAGCCAATTACGATTTCCTGGGCCTCTCTGTGCCAGGGGCTGCCCTGGTGAGGGGCCTGATCACGCAGGAAATCTAAGCCCCATCCCTGCTCTCATGGAGCAGACGGAGGTGGGACCCAAACCACAAATCATGGAAAATTAACAGTMGAAGGCAAAGAGAGATCACGAGGCAAGAGGAGATGAATTGTCCCCCAATTGTCTGGTGTCTGTGTGGACATTTGACTCCCTGTAACCAAGAAAGGAAGAAATGGGACTTTTGTGCCCCAGCCCTTCTGAGACCAAAGCCCCAGCAGGGCCAGGTGTGTGTTAGTTCTGTAGGGGTCTCATGGCTCTGTGGCACKGCCTGTCCCTGCCTACACACCATGTGGGACAGGTCTCCACACTCCCAAGGAATGGGGCCCTTTGCAGAGACCTGGCTGAACCCAGCTGCCCCCACCAGGGCAGATATCCCCCCGCCCCCCGCCACAGACCTTCCTCCCACACCCTCCAGCGGCTCACTCTCCCCAGAGGACAACGCATCTCCTCCAATCACCCCCTCAGCAGGTGCCTAGCAGAATCCCAAGAGTGCCATTAGAGACACCAGAGGAGTGGGGTGTGTCTGATCTCAGTCCTGGGGACCTGGTACTCCGMGTGCCAGGTAAGATTTGGGGTTGGATAGAAATAGACAAACTCGGTGGAACACAAGTCAGCAAATTGGTAACCAAAGGACGCGACGTGTTCATCCATTGCACRGTTTTCCTTCCCGTAATTGCCAGGCGCTGGGATTTTTATGAAGAAGCTGCAAACTCCTTCTTCCATAATTCATCTCCCTGTCTTGCCTCTTATAAATCACTTCCCAGGGACTCCGAGTTCTGGGCCACCCCATGGCGCCCTCACAGGCTGGGCTGTCTTGCTACCTTTTTTATAGGCTCTCGGCTACGAAAGACACATTTTCACACTTAATATGCACCGAGGGCGGCCGTTATTCTCAGCGTTTTAACTTAATTAACAGTAACAATCTGGGTGCAGTGTTTTGACCGCAAAGGAGCGCGCTCCCCTTGGAGCCGGGCTGTGGGCGGGCAGTTCCAAGGGCGGTCCTCAGCCTCAGGTACCTGCAACTGCCCAAGCAGGAGACACCTGGTGACAAGGTTCTCTTGTCCTTGGGAGTTCAGGCCAGTGCTGGGCGACTGGAGACGGGCATGGGGGCCTCTAGTGGGTTGAGGGAGGGCAGTTATGTGCCACGTCATGCTGTGCCCCTAGGAAAAGGAACGGAACAAAGGACAAAAGAAATCCCTGAGCGTGTGGCAGAGGTCTGAGGAGGCAGGTCCCCGAGACCCCGAGGAGACCTCAGAGGAGGAAGAAAACAAAATGATCAAGGTAAGAGAACAGCGAAGAGAAACTGAGCCCCGTGGAGGCAGGGCCCACTAACCTCAGCCAGCCCTGGAATGTTCTAGGACATCCAAGCAGCAAGCTCCATCCTGGTAGAGGGACACAGCCACCACCAAGGAGACAAATTAATCATTTTAGGCACCAAGGAAGAACGTATGGTTGGGAGTGGCTGGGGGCAGTCTGGGGCACTGCTTTGTGCAGGGGAGGGGCAGGGAAGGCCTCTTGGAGGAGGCSACATCTATTTCAAACCTGGTGAAGAGAAGGAGCCACCCAGGCAGAGTTGAAGCAAAGGATTTTGGGAAAGAGCAGCAGTGCACAGGCCCGGCTCAGGAGCACTGTGGGCCCTCGGCCTCAAGGCTGGGCTTACGGAAGAGCAAGAGGTGGCGGGGACAGCTCAGGCAGGGCCTAGTGCAATTGGGGTTCAAAGCAGCAACCTGACCAACATAGAAAGATCTAGGGCAGCGCAAATGAAGACCAGAGACAGTCAAGAGGCAGCTGCATCCTCAGGAGAGAGATCTTGAGGGCAGCAGTTCCCTCCCTCCCCTCCTAGGCAGGAACAGGAGCTGGCCAGGGCCTGGGACCCTGGAAGGCATGGACTGTCCGGCCTGCAGGGGGCCTTGAACTGCCCGGCACAGACAGCTCTCCAGCTTCACAGACCCCTTCATTCAGGCAATGAACAAATACATTTTACAATGTACACTGGGGACAGAGTAGAGAGCAGAACAGACGATAACCCCCCACCCCTTGTGGAGAAGCAAAAGGTACTGAAAGGAAACACCACAAACAAGATAAATAAACACTGTAACATGGTCGGTATCAGTAGGCACTATATGGAGGAAGATGGAGCAGGACGAGGAGGMGAGGCGAGTTGCAATTTTAAATAGGGGGGCAGAGCAGGCTTCATGAATAGATAGTATTAGTGCAAAGACTTAAAGAGAAGGTACAGTGGGCCTTGGGGATGTCTGGGAGAGGAGCTGTCCAAACAAAAGAAACCTCAATGCAAAGGTCCTGGGGCAGAGGAGGACCTGGTGCATTCGGGAAGAGCAAGGAGGCTGACTGGGCTTTGTTTAGACTGAGTCCACTCCACTGAGGTAGGAGCCCTTGGGGACCTTTGAAGAGAGAAGGGGCATAATCTGATTTACACTTTAAAGGGTTTTCCCAAGCTGCTATGTTGAGAACCTAGGGTGCAAAGGCAGAACTAGGGAGACCACCAAGAAGGCAGGAGGGGGATGAGAGAGCCCAAACTGGAGGGAAGTCACGGTAGAGGAAGGACAAAGTGGCTGAATTTTGGAAATATTTGGAAATATTGGAAATATTTTAGAGGTAGAAGCCCATGGGATTTYCTGAAAGAATGGTTTTGGAATATGAAGAAAGAGAAACATAAAAACCAACTTCAAGGTTTGTGGCCAGAACAGCTAGAAGGGCAGATTTGCTTCTAACTAAGAGAGCAAAGCCTCTGTTGGCTGAGAGCGGGAGAGAGAAGATCAGGAGGTCAGGCTGGACCTGGGAACTGTAGTTGCTGCTGGCATCCAGGTGGAGATGTTGCACAGGCAGGTGGACGTGCAAGTCTGGATTCAAAGCAAGGTTAGGGCTGGAGACGTAACGTGGGAGTCACCAGGGAGCAGATGGAATCCCAAGCCAGAGAGGGTGAGGGTCTTGCTGGGTCACACAGGAGTGGGGCAGAGTGAGCCAGGCTCCTCACCTCATGCCTCCCTCTGGACAAGGCCCAGGGAGCTTTCCAGTTCTGACTGGCGTGTGGCCCAGAGAGGGACCTCCAAGTTCTCACGGCACTCAGCAGGGTGGGACTCCTTTCCTCCCTGCACTCACCAAAGTCACGGTCACGGAGGATACGGGGGTGAATCAGGCCACTGGCACGGACCAGGGGCACCTCTGAATGGTCTCTAACTTCACCTGAGACACAGAACACATACAGCCAATGGATGTCCTTCCTGGGGAGGCATGGGGTAAGGAACCCTCCACACACACCCCTTTTTGTCTCCTGACATCCATGCTACTCAGGGCTGGGAGGTCCTTCCCGGGCTACAGTACAACYTCCTCATCTTGGAGCAAGGACCACAGAGACACCCATGAGGAACCTCAGCCCTGAGGACCTAGAGCACAGGCCGGCTCTTTCCCACACCCCAGGAGACTGGGCCACTCTCCCCGGAGAAACCAGGGATCTCATGTCTGTGAGCTGCTTTGTGCAGCAAAACCATTGACCCAGGAAGTGCAGGGGGTGAGGGCAAGATTGGCCAGCACCCCTAGCTCTGCCTCAAGGCCATAAGCACCCCTCTTGGTGGACAGCTCCTGTAGGTCCCACTGTGTCCCCACCTACAAGAGAAACTTGGGGGTAGAGAGCACAGACCCTGCAGCCAGGCCCCCATAATGTCTTCTTCCTGGGCTGCTCTATCTGTGTGGCCTGAAGCTAGTACTCGTCATCTTTGTCCTCAGTTTCCTCATCTGCAGAATGGGCCCTCTGACAGGCTGCACCTCACAGGGTCACTTAATATAGATAAGCCCCTTGGAAACAGCCTGGGCCCTGCTGAGCTTAGCTGTTGGTTAGGGGAGGTGGGTTCCCTCCCTGTGGAAAGCCAGGCGGGGTTCCTGGAGCCCCACCCAGCCGCTGTCAGCTTCCACCTCAGGGGGAAGTCTCAGCAGGACTCTGCCCCCTGGTTAGAACTGGGACGGGAGACAGGACTCTCAGTGAGACCCTGAGGCCCAGGGAATAGGCCACCAGCAGGATGAAGCGGCTCCCTAAGCCCTCCAGGCACCTGTAGGGCGCTCAGGGGTTAACTGCCCTCTCCACGCCTCTCTCTTCTTGTTAACGCTGCCTTATTTCACAGCTGACTGCTCCTGTGGAAATTGGAATAAGGATGAACTCCAAGCAGCTGGAAAAGTACCGGGCCGCCCTGGAAGGGCTGCTGAGTGAGGCACTGCCCGGTAAGGGTGGGCGGCGGGCGGAGCGCAACGGGGTCTCTGCAGCTCCCTGGGGGTCTATTGTAGCAGKCATCCCCACCCCCCAGCAGGGTTTGAGGACAGCTTGTTTGTTTTTCTGCTTCGCACTTTGAGAACTGAGCTGCCTTCTCTCCTGGGGCACAGCCCCATCTCAGAGGGAAGGACACTCAATCACAGGGCGAGCTGATGGCTGCTGGTGGCCAAGTGGCCCCATCCTCCAGCTCAGGGGCCGTCTCAAGCCCCGGCCTCCAAGGCTCAGGCAGGTTCCAGACGTCCTCTGGCAGAGGGCCACGACAAATCAACCCCGGGCCTCCCCGGCTCCAGATATTCTCATTCCTTCCCAAGTACCACCGAGGCCTGGAGGCTGCTGCAACGGGAACTCTGGATCAGCTTTTCCTTTTTTTTAATCTGTTCTGCAAATCGAAGTCCTGCGCCCCATTTGGCCTTGCCGATTCAAGGTCTGCCCAAGATACTTGTGCAAAGCTAGATCTTGTCTGACAAACAACCACTAATTACTTCTCCTGTTCAGGAGGAGAGGCGAGAGACTAGAGGAAGTGGTGTTAGAGAGGGAGAAACCCAGAGGTTAAATGATTTGCCCCAGGCTAGAGAGAGCTTCCAGTGCCTTCCAAAACGCCCATCCCTCGCCCCCAGTCGCCCTCCTCCCCCGACCTGCAGCAGGTTTTAGAAGGCATTCTGCCGACACTACAGAGCAGCAATTCCGTACTTTTCCCCAGCAGCCAAATGACGCTCCTAGGAGAAAGGTGGACCCCCCCCCCCCACAGGAAGCCCTACACACCTGGATGAGCCGAAAATCCTGCCCCACCCACAGCTGGCCTCTGAAGCCAAGGGCCCTCTCCAAAGCAGATCCCTCACGAGCAAATAAAGCATGAAATACACAGAGATGACTCCTTTATTTAATATTCTAATTTCCAAAGGGCAAACTCAGGTCATGAGGCAAAGTGGAGGGGGGCTGAGGAACTGGCCATAAATGGTGCATACATTAGCAAAATGTGTGCCTTTTGTAAGTATCAAGTTCGAATATTAACTCGGGTTGGTGGAATGGGAGGATCTGTCTGGCCCTTCCATTATGGGCAAAGAAACTGAAGCCCAGAGAGATGGCAAAGCAAGGGCTGGAATCCAGGTCTCTTGAATCTTGGTCTTTTTTCTGTGTACTGACAAGCTAAAGGTCTGATGGGCCCGAGGATTTCAGGACCTCTGCATCAACCCCGTGCTGAGTAACTTCCAACCAGCCCTTTAACCTCAATGAGCCTTTGCAAAAGCAAGGTGGTAATATCTGCCTTGAGATCTGGGGACTGAGGCACCAGCAAAGAACAAATTACTATTATTATTATTATCACCTTGTGACTACATACTCCAGCATCCGCAGCAAAATTGCACAGCCAACCCACTTATTTCTGCCTTCTAAACAAAACCGGATGGGAAATTTCATTCTAATTTAATTTTACATTAATGAATGTTCATTTATTTATAAACTGGGGCCCTACAGGAATCGCAGCTCCCTCCACCCATAGGTTACCAGCAACTAGACGCAGTGTCCACTCTGTATTGCCAMCTCACCACCCGCCACGAGCAAGGGCTCAGCCACGGATAATGGTCACCAGGGCAAGAAGACTCCGACTTTCCAAAAGGCCCATGTTTGGGGTATTCTGAATTCTCCTGAGGAACACCTAAGCCTTCCATAGGACCCAGGCCCTACCCTACTTTGGGTTCCCACACATTTCTGTCACACGTCCTAATCAACCTCAGAGCAGCTGCAATTTCCCAGGAAATGCTGCCAAAATCTGGTACTGAATGGAGAGGGCTGCTGCAGGGGCATGCTGCAGGGGAAGGCAGAGCAAGACAGGAATCCCCACCGCACACTCTGGGAGGAGCTGCATCCGGGACTTGTCCTCGCCCTACAGAGTTTCCCCCATGTCAGTTCACCCAATTATTTGTAACATCCTCCAAGAAGCAGGAAAACAAGAGGTTCAGGTCTCTCCAGGAAAACAAAAACAAAAAAAAACAGTGCATGTTCTCCCTATGCTGCAATCTGCCCCTCCACCAGCAGGTGGTGCTCCTTCCTACCCCACCCTGTACCATTTGGGGAATTTTCCCTAAGATGRGGGACAGGGGTTGGAGAACAGCACTGAAACCCATACCAGGGAAGGAAATGGGACCTCTAGGCAATGTCACCCCAGGCGGTCTAGTTTTGAAATGGGAATTGGTTCTGCAAGCATAAAACCTGGGCWGGGCCCTGTGTGTTCCTGCAGAAAAACCCTGTTCAGCGCTGCAGCCTGGCTGTCCACGACCCTCACCCTGAGGCCTCTGATGTGTTTCTCAGTAATGAGTCACAGCAGGGACCCAGCCACCACCTACATCTGTATGCACAGTGCCCCTGCGGCCTGCTTAGAAGTGGCGGCTCCTTTCTTCCCTCGTTTTCCTCCTCCTGCCACTCTTCGATTTCTCAAAAACAGCGCAAATAATTCTTCTTTGCCAACAAGCTCCTCCAGGTTCCAGGGCAGCTGACTCGATTGCTTAGGGGACATGTGCAGCCCTGGAAGAAATGAAAATCGGAGGGAGGTGGGGGAGGAATYGGTAAGCTGAGCCAAGAGAAAAAGACCATGTTGTCACAAAACAAGAAAAGAGATGACACTCCTGGTTAAAGCTTTTGAATGTGTCAAACAGAAACCAGTCAGAGTCGGAGATGGGAGGGTGCCCAGGACAATCCGGAGACAAGGGGGCCGTCCCTGATGCGGACTCCCAAAGGTGTATCCAGCACAATCTGCAAGAACCTCTGTGGTTAACAGGTACATTAGCCTGCGTGGTCTGGAATGTTCTTTACACTTAACAGGACCACGGGTAATTACCAAGCAACCTGAACCTGGCTTCACAAGATGGAGATGATGAAGTATTTTCTCGGTAACCACATTGGTGTGATTTCATAATTACCGAGCTACGTGGATTTGCCATGAAATTGAATAGTTAAAAGCAAAGAGTAATTGCCTGATATCTGTACTCTGTAATTTAGTATAATCTAATCATGGACAAAGCCCAAAAGAAAACACTCTGAAAGCGTTACATTTTTCTCCATACACCATTTATTATTGACATCGGCTAATGTATTCCATGCGTCTAAAGSAACTCTAACCCACGCATACCAAAGTGGAAGCGTGGCCAAAAGGGTCAGCGTTTGATTTCGTTTCCAACAGATTATGAAAAGCAGGTGGCACAAGTGTCCACTAAACCTGTTCTGGTATTTTCCTGAGACTATTCATCCCCTTCACTGACACATCCCCAGACTTGGAGAGAAAACGGTGGCTTCCTCTTGCACAAAGCAGACACAAGGAGGCAAGAAGTTGGGAGCTCCACAGGTCATCCCAGTCCAAATCTAAGCCCCAAACGGCTTCTTCTTCTTCGCTTTTTTTTTTTTTTTTGGCAGCACTGGGGGTTGACCCCAGGGGCATTTTCTGCTGAGCTACATCCCCAGCCCTTTTTGGGACAGAGTCTCACTAAATTCCCAAGGGCCTCACTAAATTGCCCAGGCTGCCCTYGAACGGCAATCCTCCTGCCTCAGCCTCCCCAGTGGCTGGGATCACAGGCCTGTGCCACTACACCCAGCTTACACTCACTCCCCACCCCTCAGTGTGATGCCACCTGCAAAGTGGTTGAGAGGAAGCCTAGAATAGCTAAGGACCCCGGGCTGGGGCTGGGGCTGGGGCTCAGTGGCAGAGAGCTTGCCTAGCTCCTGGGAGGCCCTGGGTTTGATCCTCAGCACTACATAAAAATTAATAAATAAAATAAAGCTATTGTGTCCAACTACTTCTTTAAAAAAAAAAATAGCTAAGGACCTCAACGAGGTGGAACAAGGACGAGTCCACAGTTGGAGAGCATCTTAGAGGATCTGATAAATGTGTGCAGGGCTTTTTGCAGGAAGAGGAGAATGGAACCCACTAAAAGATTTATGGCCATTATTATTAGTATAAGGCTCCGCAGAGACAGAGAGGCCAGCAGGAAGGCAGGCAGTGTGGTGGCCCTTCAGGAATCCAGAGGGTGCTCTGAGCAGCCCTCGCCTCTGTTAAATGTGTGGATGTGGTTACTAAGTAGCTGTAGACACTGCGGCCTCTTTTTCCTCTTTTGCCTTTAATAAATCAGAAGACTGACAGCAGCCTGAGCCACTCACCTTTACCAAACTCCCACTAACGATGGAAAGGAGGGCGCAGCCATGAACTTTTACAGTGTTTTCCTTTTCTTTAAAATATGCTTTCCCTCACCCGACAGGCCCCTGGGAGAGCCAGGTGGACAGCGGTGGCTGAGGAGCCCTGAGGCCAAGCCCATCCCAGGGGCAGCATGTGGAAGGTTCTGCAGGGCAAAGTAAAGAACAGGCAAACAAACCCCACTAAAATGGGTAAAAGGGTGCCTTGGGGGTGAAAAATGTCAATGGAGGACAGAGGAGACCACAGAATTCCAGGAAAGGGGCAGGGCCAGAGCTGGGAGCTCAGGAGGCAAGCAGAAAGGCGGAGCCCTGGGAGGCAGTGGGTTACCACAAGGTTTCTCTCAGAGCTGGTGAAGAGGGGTGCTGCCTGGCACCCACTGTTAAGAAGTTGGGAGCCTGGGAACCTGTGGATGCTCCATACCAAGGCCTGTTAGACCCAGAAGCCACCGTGGGGGCCATGGGTGGACCTGGGTGGCTGGAGACCACCACTACAAACATGCTGGGTTCCAGGCCAGAGGAAAGTCGACAGGATGTGGGGGAAGAGCTGTGGGCCATTTGGCCATAGGTGTGTATAGAAGTGGCAGCAGCATCTCTGGATACAAAGAAGATCAACAAAGCCCCCACTGTGTCCCACTACTGGGGTGGCTCCCATCAGTCTACATTTTTAAAGCACCCTGAGATCCATTGTGATGGAACAGACCATAACTCTGAAACACTGCAACGTTCACTTTGTTTAAGCATCAGTTTCAAGCCCTCTCAGAACACACAGGGCCAGTATTGATGCCGAAAGGCTCATTCTTTATATATTGAACTGCACAGCTGCAAGGAGTAGCACAAATGTTACCAACTCATTTGTCATGCAAACAGTGCTTCAGAAAGAAATAAAATACTATTATGTGGTATATGTGTTAGGCAATCACTATATCAAATCCATGGCATTCCGTGCAAACACAGGCAGAGAAAAGGAAAACAACACTTGGTGAGAGAAATCGCACCACATGGGAGCAGCTAAGTCGGGGAGATGGGGAGGCTAACAACGGAAGCCTGACCGTGCAGAGGCTGTAATTTTCCCAGCAATGTGGCCAGTGTTGAATACCCCTGAGRTACAGCAAGTGGCAGGAATGCAAAACCCTCACAGAGGAGCATGGCCCAGGGTCCCAGGGAGGGGATGGATTGATGTAGGACTGCTGGGTAAAGCTACAAGGAGATACCAGGGAGGGGGGCTGGGGAAGGCAAGACTAATGGGAGGGCTGGAAACACTAAGCTCACAATAAATGCTGGGAAAGGGAGCTGATGAAGGATGTGGAAGGAATATGAAGTGAGCAAGGGAGGGTGGGTAAGACAATGAACTACAGCTCTACTTCCATTGCCATCACTTCCCATGCTTCCCTTAGGGGCTTCCTGCTAAGAGCCTTCTTGTAACCAAATCGCCTGCCCTGTGGGAGGGTCTACACAGCACTGGCAGGGAAGATATGGGTTAAATATAAACAAGTAAGAGAGTGTGCCAGGCACTGTCCTAAGCACCTTACACAAATTATTTCTTCTAATCCTTAAATAGCAACCCTATAAGGCTTATTGGCAAACAGGCTAGAAATGTTAATTGGATATGATCACACATCTAACAGTTGTAGAATTGGGATTTAAAATCAAACTCTCAGATCAAGAGCCTACATCTTAAACCACAAGGACAGCATCAAGATTGGGAGTCTCTGGGGTCTCCCCTTACCTATCTCCCCTTATGAGAATCCTACCATGCAGCCACGCGGCCTCCTCTGAGCAGCCTCACCTTGCCGACTCCCAATCAGGGCATTTGGCTTTTCTGTTTTTCTGATGGGTGGGGTGTCCTATCCAGGCTGGAGCGCAAGGAGGCCAGAATCTGTCCTAGGGCAGTGCTGCATGCACTTGGCGCTTAACTTCGGCCAAGTGCAAGGCCAGGAAAAGAAGCCAGCCCACAGCAGACTGAAATAGGGACAAACTCTCAGGGCATGCTACTGCCCAAACAAAACCCGATCAGACATTGGTCCTCAAGCACAGAAGGTGGCATATGATTTTGCCTCCTGACTGCTGGCAGTGGCTTGTCTCGAACTATTAAGCAATTCATCCATTAAATCAACCAGACTGTACTGAATACCTTCCACGTGCCAGGGACTGCTCTGGGGATGAAGGACTCTGAGATAAACAACGCTAGATCTAACAAACAAGAGGAAAGGAGAGGGGCGGAGCAACAGGAGAAAACAAAAAATTAAAATTCATGGGACCTCCCCAATATGGCGGCTCCAAACCCGAGTCAGACCTCCTCATCATGGCCGACGCATAGGCCAGTCGCCGACCTCCCCAATATGGCATCCGAGGCCGACCTTCCCATCATGGCGCAGGGCCCCGCCCGCTCCGCCGCGGCT